CCTGGCCTAGTCCCCAGAGCCTGTGAATAGTAGCCTTTAGTAGCCAGGGAGTCTGCCTATAGGTAATGCCAAATGACTTTACAATAGGGAGAGGGTCTCAGAGTAATCAAGAAAGAAGAAAGCAGAAGAGCTAAGCTCAGAATGATGGAAGGGATCATATGCCAAGGAATGTAGGCAGCCTCTGGGGAAAACTCCAGAAGGACACAGGCACCCTAATGTGGTATTAGCCTGGAGAGGCCCAGGGTAGATGTCTAACATACAGAACTATGAGATAATGTGCATTTTTCTAAGCCACTAAATTGTGGTGATTTCTGTGTGTGCACTAAGGCATGATCAGTTTGTGTATGTATTCTATACTGAGCAAATCAGAGAAGTCAGCATTCCAGATCCTTCTCCTTTCTTTATCTTTGGATCCTGTGAGCTCTTCCCTTCTAGCTCTTCATAAAGTATGCAATAGGTTGTTGTAAACCATCATTGCTGAGCTGTGGCACACCAGCACACATTCCTGCTCTCTAACTGTATTACACTACTGGACTTCAAGCTTCCCCTTTCCTTCCCCAGTCTCCAGTAAGTACTATTTTATATTCAGATCAACTATTTTTTGCTTCCACAGAAGAGAGAGAGCATTCGGTATTTCTTTTGGGGACATGATTTCTGATTTGTTTTACTTTACACGGTGGCTTCCAGTTCCATCCACTTGGATTTTATTCAATTCGTTTTAGGGCTGAGTAATGGGCCATTGTATGCACACGTGGCATTTTCCTTCATCATTCATCTGCCCACAGACTCCTCGGTTGACCTGATGTCCTATCAGTTGTGCATCCACAGGGGGTAGCCATCTCACCTCTTTGTTGGAAGAAATGCATCTACTTGTCCTAGTGTAGGAGATGGTTGAGGTTACTTGAGATTTATTCTAGTGCTGGAATCCCACTTTCCCTGAGATCCAGGTTATCTGCCAACACCCAGTCATAGAACAGAAGATGGGGTCTACCGAGCAGGTGGACACTGCTCCAGGGCCTGTGGCTTTCCCATCTACAGTTGGCACCTAGTAGGAGCGTGGTGACTGGAAGGGACACAATGGGGTATATGGGTCCTAGAGTGCTTAGACAGTCTCTTTTTCATCCCATGATGCTTGGATCATATAAGTCACAACCATATGATCTGGGTGTTTTTCTATACTTGAATTCTTGAATTATACCCAATAAAAAAGTTTCAAAAGATATTAAAAGTGCCATACATTGAGTGATATATCTTTGCTCAATCCGTCCTGAGCCTGACCCTCAGCTCCATCTCCCCTCTAACTCCTGACCTTCTCTCCCAGTCACCCCAGGTCACCCCAGGGATGAGGTATAGGGCATATGGGGCTCATTGATGGTGTAAATGTGGACAAGGATGGAGAACTCTCATGATTGCCTCTTTCAGCTCAACAGAGAAGTTGTATCAGTGGACCAGGGAAATTACCTCATTTGAACACACATCATACAGCCATAAAAGCAGCAATTACTGTGATTATAAAGTCTCCTTTCATTGGTGATGGTCATGTCTTTGTCATTCAGCGTGAGTTTCCTGGGAGGTAGAGACCTTTGTGATTTTCTCCTTTCATTTTCCATCTCCAGGACCTATACAAACCTGGGTACATCATAAACACCTGTTGAATGAATAGATAAATCACTTGTGGTCAGCTAGGAAGAGAGAAAGTAATTATTTTCACTTGCAACAAAAAACAATCGAAGGGAACTGAAACTTGAATTAGCAGAGTGCTAACAAGGAACAATGTCACTGTTATATTTTCTAACTAAATTTACCTAACACTCAAATAAAAGTAATGACTTAATATCATTCCTGTCCTTTGGAAACAAATCACTGGCTTTAACATTCCTAAAATACAACACACTCCCTAGTGCCTGGGCATCCCTAAAGAGAAAAGAAAAACATGATACAGTGAGGTGCTCCAGTTCCCAAGATACGGGGAAGTAGCGCTTGCTGTATATAGAAAGACTCTCCTTGTCTGAAGTGTAGGTTCGTCTGCAGGCACTTCCTCTATGTGGGGACCTGCCCTCAGCTACCAAGGCCTCACCTCAAGCTGGATAGGAATCCCCGTCCTACTCTGCCAGCCTTGCAGCCTCATTCTCTGAATATGTTCCACTCAGAGGGGACAGTACAAATGACTCCTTACTTATTGTCTGAACTGTCCTTCTGAAAATCCTTCCACCTCCAGAGCTAGCAACTTCCACTCCTCTCTTAGTGCCAGGTTCCCAGACCCCTTCTGCATGATTCCTCCCCTACGTGCGTCACTTTGCCCTGGACACAATGCTTCCGCAGCATCTTCTCATCCCGTCTGCAGAGCGGGAAAGCTGAGTGTTCTTTGGTTATGGGTACAAGCTATGCCTTACCCTTAAATGAACGTCTAGCACTAACCCCAGCACTGGGCACTTGGAAGATGTGCACAGAAAAAGCATGCTGCACCGATGGACTGTGTTCCACTGACGACCAGTCCCCCCACTCTTGCTGGAAGTCTGCTGAGCTTCTTCCCTGCTCTGTGTCCTGACCCTGTGTCTGACTCCCTAGTTGAGGGCAGCTCTGTTTATTGTCATCCCTACTTTACAGATGTGTCTTTGGGCATACTTAGTGGCTTGATGAGAGCCAGGATTTTGTGCCATAACCTACATACACTACTGCCCTCTGCCTTCCAGTAGCCGATTTTGCTTCCTGATCACAGGAAGCAAGTAAAATGATGGCCACCTACTGTGGTTATGACACAATTGCTTTCCTCATTAGTGCTGATTGAGAGAACTTGTTTATGGTCACTGTCTGCTGCCCATGGTGCCTGGCTTCTTTCTGAGGAACAGGATGAGCAGTGCTGATACCTGAGACATTGTTTTGCTGTGGGGTTGGGGCTGACAGTCATCCTCCCTCCTTCTGGGTGAGAAGGAGGGGACGATGGGATTGTCAGAGAATTTCATGATGAAAGTAAAGGCCTCTGCACAGGGCACAACCCAGGACACACTGTGTGAGTCCCCAACAGGACACCAGGTTTAATGACTCATTAGTACTCAGGATCTAGCATATAATTCTACTCATGACTAATATTTATTTCCACGAAAAGAGCACAAAGCAGCCTTGGCAAAAGGCAAAGTCTAAAGAAAGCCAGGTGTAAGCTTATAAGAGTTCTTTCCCTGTGGAGTGACACAGGACACACCAAATGCCTCCTTCAGCCCATTTCGTTGGCACATCTGAGAAGCTTTGATAGAAGTTTGGGCTAGGATTTTCACTGGAGGCTGGCAGGCACCCTCTGCCTCTCATGGATACAAGTTCTGCACACCCATATTGTTTTACACATTGCTCACTATGGTTCTCCCTCCTTATTATTTAGGGAGAGTCTGATATCAATGTTGGAACTATTGATCAGCAGAGGCCCTGACTTTCAGACCTTCCTAATGGTAACAAGCTCTGGTTTGCCGTGCTCAGCCACTAACCTTGTGATAGCTCCTGTCTGCTGTGAATCCAGAGGATGAGCAGCACTGTAGCTGAGGCCTGAAATCTCTGTTCGTTTAAGGCAGAGGATTCCCTAAATACCACAGTATAGAATACTCACTATGTACCACCTATGGAAGAGTCAGGCATTTATCTGAGCCCTAGTTTCTTCTTTGCCACTCAACCGCATCCTTAAGCATTTCCATCCCACCTTCAGATTCTAACTTTTCCACCCCTCCAGAGAAGGATCAGCCACTCTACCTTCTTTTTGGAGAATTTATAATGTGCAAGCTGGGGCTTCAGAATTCACTATTTTTTAGTCTGTGTAAGTTGTATATTTTTCTTTAACAAGTCCATGTGTATTAATCAAAATCCTGAAGGAAACTAAAATCTGAAGTGCCACCAAGAGCAGAGTGCAGAAGTGATGACCAGGGTTACAAGAATAATAGAGAGTTTACACTGTCACAAGGAAACTGAACCTCATCTCCCCAACAGAAAGCACCTACTGGGTGCATCAGAGAACATCAATTGGAGTTCCACATGAGATGGATTGTGACTTTTTTTATGTCTGAGATAACTTTTTATGTAATTTCTTTATCTTTCCACAATACATACAAGATGGGGAAAAAAACAAAATATTTGCCTAAAAGGTATTAGTATTATAGAAAAATAGACTAATAATGTGGCAATTACCCAATGTTATAATGAGTTCTGCACTGCCCTGTGAGACATTACACGGAGCTTTGTCCGTGTGTGGACAGAGTGACTACCATAGCACCTAGAATATAGTGACATTAACATGAATCTCTTGAATGAATAGGCAGTGATTCTAAAACAATTTGACTGAGTACCAAAGTCACTGAGAGGGGTCTTTATAAATGTACAGATCACTTGGCCAAACCCCAAAGGCACTAAATAGAAGTTGCAGGACAATAACCTAGGGATGTGTGTTATCCACAGTTTTATCTAAGACCATGTCATTGGGAGCCATTGGCTAAAACAGGTTCTTCATGGTTCTGATCAGTTCTGGGTACTCCTGAAAGAAGTGGACAAGGGCAGTAGGAACAGGTTATGGGAGGGCGATGGGGGGCTGAGCTTTTCTGTATGCCTGAACTTCTGGCCTAAGTGCCTCTAGCAAACCATTTAGCCTGGTTAGGAGTAACACTTGCCTGGAGTTAATCTGTTATTGATCCTGGCTGTGTGACTTTCCCTGATGTATCGTTTCAATTATTAAAAAAAAATTCTGAGGTAAGCAGAGCCTCCAGGTGACCTCTCTTCCAACTGTCTGTGCATTATTAACACAGCTCTGCAGAACTTTTTAACACTTTATTTATCTGTGCAAAATCTTGTTTCTACAGACAGTGTTCTACATTACTTGAAGCTGGAGTCGATCTCTTGTTTTTTGTTTTTAAATCTCTGTGCCATATGGGTAACACTTTCTAATGCTTGCTGAATAAATGAGTTGATCCCATTTGAAACTACGTTTTTAAAGGATGCAATGTTAATTTTCACTTTTTCTGTTGTAGAAGCAAGCAAACTGAGAAATTAGAAGTTGATCCAAGCAAGCATTCATGCCCTGATATAACTACCATAGTTCAAGAAAATCAGCATGCACCCAGAAGGTTGAGATCGGCACCCAAAACTACACCTAGTGAGGAACATCCAGACTTTGAAGATAACCCAGAAGTTCCTCCCCTGATCTGAAATCACAGGCCGCATTGCCATGGCTCTGTGACCCATTAGGTCCACATTTTTCAGTGTGAAGAATAAGCGTATGTTATTTATGGAGCAAGCACAGAATTAACTATTATTATTGCCACTTTATTGTGGAAACTCCTCCTTTGAAGAGTAATAGTCTTGAGTTTGAAATTAAAGTGTATACCTTCAATAAGCCGACTCATGATTTGTCTATAATGAAAGGGGGCTGGTGACAATATTCGGTAACATGGCAGAACTATTACATGAAGTATTGATTATAAGTCACAAAATGTCTGCTTATGCAAGAGATTCAGGATTATTGTGAAAGGACTGATGATTAAATTGGAATATGAGCAAATTGGTGGAGTTTAGAAGTTAAAACCATAACCTAGACCCAGTTAGAATGCTTCTATGTAGTTTTATTTTGGGTAAGTTTTTATTTTATTGTAAAGATGAGTAAGGTAATGAGTCCATTTCTTGTCGAGCATTGTTACCCCGTCCTTTGTATTTCTCCTACTATCTCATCCACAGTGCTTCAAGCATCCCTTTCAGGAGTGTCTGCTTTCACTGACTGTAGTGTTCAATGGCAAGAATATGAATTTTGGCATTAGCCACTGTATATCTGGGTTCCAGCTGTGTCACTTCATAAAGATGTTCAGTGAGTTCCTTCACTCATCGGTCCTTAGTGGAGTGGTCTGTAACATGGGATATTTGCCTGTCAGTTCATCTCACAATCATCTCTACATGTAAATGCAGAGGCTCTCATATTCACAGCCATTTTCTTTTTCTCCGTCTTCCCTTTCTCTTCTCCTCCTCTTTCTTTCCTATTTCTTTAGTTCCTATTCTCTTTTTCCTTCTCTTCTTCTTCTTCTTCCTCCCATCCTACTCTTCTCCTACTTCCTTATTTCTTTGATATTGTCATAGCTTAACTGTGAAATGGATCCCTCAGACTCAGGGGCTGAATGCTTGTTCCTACCTGGTGGTACTCTTCGGGGAAGAGGTGGAAACTTTGAAGAGGTCACAACTACCCAGAGGAAGTAGGCTACTGAGGGTGAGTCTTTGAAGGTTACACTTGGTCCCTGCTCCCTGGTCCCTTCCTTTCTTCCACTTTCTGTCTGCCATGAGGTGCATAACTTCCTTTCATGATGTTCTGCCCAACTTCATGGCGCCAACGGACCATGGCTGAGTCCTCTGAAACAATAAGCCAAAGAAGCCTGCCGTCCTTTTGTTGTTCTCTCAGCTTCTTGGTCCAGAGAGACACAGCCAGCAAAGAAAGATGTTTTCCTCCTCTTCATTTGCTAGAAAACTGTGAATATAATAGTCTATGTAAACTACAGAAAAAATTATTCTCTATTCTAGCAATTAAATACGAGTTCCTCAAATGCATGTCTTCAGCAAGGATTCTGCCCGCCACAGTGTGAATGTGGTTCAGGTGTGTCTCCCAGAATGGTTATGTGTTGGGAACTTGGTCCCCATGGCAGTGGAATTGTGTGGAACCTTTAAGATGTAGAACCTGATGGGATTTCCTTAAGTCATTAACCTCAAAAAGGAATGCCAGAGATCAGGCTAGAACCAGGAATTGGGGAAGAGAAGCCTGGAGATAACTCTGAATAGGACACAAAAAGATTTCAGGTGGAAGAAATATCAGCTCCGCCCCTCTCCTAGTTACACATCAGGAAGCCTGATAAAGTCACATGGGAGCAATTCTATTTGTGCCAGACAAGAACCCAGAAGTCCTACTCTTAGACTCAAACAGAAAATGAGTGGGAGTGATTGCCAAGGCCCAGAGAGACAGACATGACAGTGGTGACCCCCACAAGGCCAGGACATTGCTCCTGGGATAAAGCCCACACCAGGCTTCCTATGGGAGAGATGGTAAGCCACCTTACCATCTCTTGACTTCCCTCTTTTCTTCCCCTCCTATATCTTGCTGAGCTTTGCACTGGCCAAAGCCACTGGAAACTAAGGAAAGGGCACTGTGGCTAGAGTCCATCGAAGTTGTGCTTCTGGGCACTTAACAGTAAAGAAGGGAATAAAAGGGGTCTGCACACCCTTCCCCTTCTGCCTGTATTACCTCAACTTGCCCAACTTGCCTCAACTTGGGAGAGGGGCCTAGAGATCAAGAGAGGAGCAAGCGTTCAGGATAAGAAGTAAGAAGGGGCCTGGGAAGGGGGCTCAGTGGTAGAGTGCTTGCCTTGCATATGAGGCCCTGGGTTTGATACCTAAGCACCACATAAACAGAAAGAGCCAGAAGTGGTACTGTGGCTCAAGTGGTAGAGCACTAGCCTTGAGCTGAAGAGCTCAGGGACAGTGCCCAGGCCCAGAGTTCAAGCCCCATGGTCAACACCACCAAAATAAAGAAAAAAGAAAAGAAATATGAAAGACCCCTGGCTCCTCATTGTTTCAGCTGCAGGATTTCAACCTCAGCAGGCTACCACAACAACATAACACCCTGGGAGTGTCTGAGAAGATCAAATGCCAGGGGTTTGATTGCTATTCGAACAGAATCATGAAGAATAGAGACTCGAGCGAATAGCTCATTCCTATAATCCTAGCTACTCAGGAGGCTGACATCTGAGGACTGTGGTTTGAAGCCAACCCTGGTCAGGAAAATCCATGAGACTCTTATCTCAAATTAATCACCAAAAAGCCATAGGTTTAAGTAGTAGAGCACTAGCTTTAAGCACAAAAGCTCAGGATTGGCATAAAAAAGTAAAAAAGAATGTGGACTCAAGGCTCAAGGGCAATCTTTGTACCCAAGACAAAGAATATGTCATGGAGTCTGCTTAAATCTTCTTTCAGAGCTAGATAGTCCACTCTGCTGAGGGCAGGCAAAGATGTAGCAGGAGACAAGACAGGCTATGCTCACATCTCACCTGCAAGCTGGCCATTCGCTCTCAAGAGTATGCTAATACCTCCCAGTCCCCAAATCCAGTTTGGTACCTTCTCTGCCTTTGCTCCTTTCTTAGTCTTTTGCTTTCACAAGCCTCCTTTGGAGATGTGCATGTGTCTCCCTCCACCACACACACACACACACACACACACACACACACACACACACACACACACACACACACACACACCAGCACTTGTACCATCCTCCCTGCCTCCAGGAGAAAGAAACTCTGGCCTGACACTCGTCTTCCCATGAGCTTACCTTTACCTGGTTGGCCAGATTCCTCCTGAGCTGCCGTCCCCAGAGTGCATGACATCCCGCACAGTTGTACAGGACCTGTGCTCCACTCTCAGCTACCTGGAAGAACCTGCATGGGAACCTTGCGGTGAGCGGTTGCCAGAGCCAAAAGACAGCCACCAACAGCAAGTCCTGGAGGAGGTGAGTGTGAAGCTGCAGGCTCCAAGTGCAAGTGCCGGGCCTCAATTACAGGAGACTGCCCTGCACTTGACAGCTGGGGATGTGACATGCAACGTGTGTCTGTCACTGTTTACAGTCTGTCACCGCCTGCCTGACACATTTGGATGGGAAGTGCTCCCTTGTCTCCAATTGACGCATGTCAGGCCAATGTGTCTGCCACTCTGTGGCAGACCTCAGCTAAAATTAGCTGTTCTTTTATGCTTCTACTCCCTAATTATCCTAATTACTCTTCCTCTCATCTGGTCTGGTGTTTTCCTTATAACAGAGACAACTTTACTTTGCCCACTGCTTGGTGTCCTTGCTCAATACATAAGAACTGAGCACCTATTATGTGCAAAGATACCTAGTGGGTGCCTGGAAAGACACTCCCTCTCTCTGGATCTTGTCTGTCTGCTGAGGGCTCCACTGGCTCCATTCTGTCCAGCCATCACAGAGGCCACTGCCTAGTCCTCCTCAGTGACCCTGGGACACACTTTCTATGGTTTCTTCCAACACCGACGCCAATAATGTCCACAAATTCTCCACTCTAGGCCTTGGATTGTGCCTTTCGTTCTGTCTTCTCTTAAACAATGAGCAATTTGTTCAGCATTCAGTGCAGTGTCTTCTTCCTAATTCTGCCCTGCTGCTTTTACTTTTCTTCTAGTTTTTATAATTGACTTTCGAATTATCCAGATTGGAAAACATCATCTCTGATTCCAACGTTCAACATTCAGTTGTCAACAAAAGCATGTCACTGCCATCTCAAAAGAAGCACTTATACTTTCCTCACACATTTCGATGTCTGCCTTCCGGCTCCATCACCGGCTGTCCCAGGCTTACCCCTTCTCATGTTCCTCCAACTAAGTGCCTCATCCACTGTCTTACAGAGCACAAGTCTGAGCACACTAGGTACAAGTCCTTCTTACCTACTACATGAGGTTTGTTGCTACTCCTGAGAGCCAAATGGGGCTTCTGTGTCCACTGTTCCCTGTCCATAAAATGACTGGTTTATGGTGAACAATGTGTATGTGGGGGGGGGAGACTCAGGTGAGCACCCCTCAAGGCTGGATAGGAGAAGGATAGAGTTGGGAAGGCCCAGGGTAAGCACGGAAGCCCTGGTGCTGGGAGGGAAGGCAAGACAAAGCAAGCACTTGTTTCTTGATAAAAGAGCATCACCTGGTGGAATAACATTAACAAATGGATTCCTTTTCAGAGAGAAATGAAATCCACCTAATGGACCACCATCTTGCCTCTGTTCCACTAAATCAGCACATGGTCCATCCTGCAGTCAAGGCAGAACTGCTGACCGTGATGACCCAGGAGTGCCTTTAGAACCCCCTGGGTATGGAGACTCACTGTTACTACTCCACTCATTTGCACCACCAAAGGTGGAATGCCTGCACTAATTGCTACCCAACATGTCATCTGTACACATTGATAAAAAACCAGCCATTTTGCTTATGCTCTCTGCTGCTGTGGGTCAGAAATACTGACAGGATGAATAGAGATAGTTTATCTTTTCTCTTCTGCATCTGGTACCACGGCTTGGAAGATCCAGAAATGGTGGTAACTTGATATCTTGGACTAGAACCTTCTAGAAGAGTCTTCACTCATACACTTAGAAGCTCCCACTGACTTTTTATTAGACCTCAAC